CTGGCCCCACCACTGGCCCCCCCACTGGCCCCCACTCCCCCCCACTGGCCCCACCACTGGCCCCACCACTGGCCCCACCACTGGCCCCACCACTGGCCCCACCACTGGCCCCACCACTGGCCCCACCACTGGCCCCACCACTGGCCCCACCACTGGCCCCACCACTGGCCCCACCACTGGCCCCACCACTGGCCCCACCACTGGCCCCACCACTGGCCCCACCACTGGCCCCCCACTGGCCCCACCACTGGCCCCACCACTGGCCCCACCACTGGCCCCACCACTGGCCCCACCACTGGCCCCCCACTGGCCCCCCACTGGCCCCACCACTGGCCCCACCACTGGGCCCCACACTTTAGGTGGCTGAGATGTACAAGGTGGACTTGTCTCGTAACGCCCTCACCCGCCTGCCTCCGGAGCTAGGGCTGCTGTCCACACTCACCACCCTGGACGTCAGGTAGGTGGTTAGGAAGGTGGTTAGGTAGGTGGGTACACGGTTCGGATGGTAATGGCGGGGAGGAGGAGAAGAAGGACAAGGACAAGGACGAAGGGGAGGACGAGGAGGAATCCAACCCTTAAACTGAAACAGAGGGTTAAAGTTGCCTACGTACCAGTTCCCGTGCTAGACTGTTGGTTGTATCTCTTTTTCATATAAACTTAAATATTAAACGTTTCGTGGATAGCGAGGGATTTCCGTGGTTCTATTTACCGGAATGCGCATCGTATCGTCCAACCTTCCCAACCAACGCCTGCAGTACATTCGTACCATCCCCTCCTTCCTCACAGCCATAACCAGCTGGCGGAGCTGCCCATGACGCTGTCCATGCTATCGTGCTTAAAAGTAAGTGTCGTACTGCTGTGTGCCGAATGTGCGGCAGTTGGTAGTTGGTCAAGGACTGGCGCTTGTACGGCAGCGGTGTACAAGTTACAAGTTATAAAAGTCCCCCGCGAATGCGGGGGTGTCCGTCAAAACCTGAGGGGCGGGGCCATGAACTATATAACTATATATATTGAATTGAATTGTTACAGAGTGGGAGGCTTCTGGGGCATTTGAACAACTATATATATAGACAGGTGTACATATATGTACATGAGAATGATGAAGAGGCTCGCTATCGCAGGAAATGAAGTAATGCCCTTCAGATATGAATGTATTTTACGGGTCTGGCTGACGTGTCCCTGCCCCCCGTGTTTTGCCCTGCCTGGCCCATCCCCATCCCGCACCTTACGCCGCCTCGCCCTTGCCGTACCTGCCGTACTCACCTTCTTGCCGTGCAGCTCTTGGACGTGTCCAACAACAAACTTCAGGTGTGTGTTGGTGTGTAGGAGTGTTGGTGTGTAGGGGTGTTGGTGTGTAGGGGTGTTGGTGTGTAGGAGTGTTGGTGTGTAGGGGTGTTGGTGTGTAGGAGTGTTGGTGTGTAGGGGTGTTGGTGTGTAGAGGTGTTGGTGTGTAGGGGTGTTGGTGTGTAGGAGTGTTGGTGTGTAGGGGTGTTGGTGTGTAGGAGTGTTGGTGTGTAGGGGTGTTGGTTGTAGGAGTGTTGGTGTGTAGGGGTGTTGGTGTGTAGGGGTGTTGGTGTGTAGGGGTGTTGGTGTGCAGGAGTGTTGGTGTGTAGGAGTGTTGGTGTGTAGAGGTGTTGGTGTGTAGGGGTGTTGGTGTGTAGAGGTGTTGGTGTGTAGGAGTGTTGGTGTGTAGGGGTGCGTGTTCAGCCCCATAGGCGCTGTGGCTGATGCCTCCAGGGAGGTCCAAATCCCCGTTCACTCCCCATTGTGACACGTTACTCTGCCGCACACTCCAATTCCCTACGTCACCTTGGTCGCACGATCATGTACGGATCATGTACGGTCTTTGAATACCCAGACCCCCCCTGGCTGACCCCGTACATACACGTTGTTCCTCGCCTGCTCCTCCCCTCCCCTCCCCCTCCCCTTCCCCTTCCTGCAGCACTCTTTCCTTGTCAGCAGCTTCACTCGCTCGTGGTTTGTCTTTCCCCCCTACCCTCTCTCACATCACTTGTCTATGTGGTTCGCCTTCACCCTCACCCTCACCCTCACCCTCACCCTCACCCCCCTCCGCCTACGTCTGCTTCAGGATCTTCCCTC